CTATGGTTAATTGTGGGTCTTCAGTGCATAACATTTCTCAGAACACAATACTCTGTATATAAGAGTACAGGCCATTTCCTTCATTTGTGTTTTTGACCTTCTTTCTCTGTTATTATTGTTGTTTCGATTTATATATTGTCCCATAGTGCTAGAGCACATCATTATACAGGGAACACTTTACCTCCAGCTAGCTGGGGTACTCATTTTACTAACCTTTTTGAAGGATGGAAGGCTGATTAAACCTTTAGCTGGCTACCTGAACCCATTGGGATTGAACTCAGGTTTTGAGCAGAGGCTTGACCACAGCATTTTCAAGGAAGTCAGGATAGTAGATGGTTAAACTGTCTGGATTTGGTTAATTGTTTCAAGGTGTTTATGGGAGAATAGGAAAAGACTGGGTCCAAAGAAGAAATGTATGTGCTTAAGAGACCCCTGCTTGATAATCCTTTTAAAAAATCATAGGTTTCAGTGTTTTGCTTGCTTTGTATTTCTGCATAAACAAACAAATAGTTTATTTAGTTATTAGTTATTAATTCCTTGTGGAGCTAGTTCTTATTTCATGGACTGAAATGCACTTGTAATATTGGTCTATTTAAAATATTTTTACCTCATCTTTTACCTTGAAAAGGACCCAAGGCGGTTTACATCATAATAAGAAAACATTTAAAGCTAGAAATAGTGAGTACTGTATACAAATATTAAAAAAAACCAGGCAAATAACACTCATGAGAAATGGTAAACAAAAGCAATACTACAAACACATTTGAAGCAGTAATGCAAAGCAATCCAGTTAAAACTCCCACTCAGGTAGCCAGTCACTCAGGGTAAGCTTGCCTGAAGAGAAAGGTCTTTGCCTGCTTGTGTAAGGACTACAATCTCACATTCTTGTGGGATATGCCTGAAGATAAAGGTCTTTCCCTGCTTGTGTAAGGACTACAATCACACATTCTTGTGGGATGGAGTTCCAAAGTCTGGAAACAGTAACAGTGAAGGCCTTTTCCTTGTTTCCCCACCAAATGCACCTGTGAGGGTGATGTGATTGAGGCCTGTCCTGATGATCCAAACACCTGGGCAGGCTCATAATAGGAGATACAGTCCTTGAGATAGCTTGGATCCAAGTTGTTCAGGGCTTTATAGGTTAGAGCCAGCAGTTTGAATTGTACCCAGAAGCAGATTGGCAGCCATTGTCACTAGAACTCTGCGCACATTGACTTGGGAGATTTTTATGGAATTAATATGAGGGCGGTAATTGGGATAACAATTGCACAGGGAAGTGCTGAATGTTTCCTTCCTTTGTGCTGCAGTTATACATTATATCCACCTGCCCCATGTTTCCTTGAAATTTTAAAAAAATCCGCACCCGTCAATGTGTCTAGTGTCACACATAGCTTGGCTGGCAGAGAAAGAGTCATAGGGCTAGTGTAGATAATGTGTTCAGTATGTATAGGCCAGCTATAATCAGGACGGGAAAATTTAGGGGGAAACTATCTGTGTTCTCCTTGAGGAAATTTCACCTGCGCTAAAGACTATAATTACAGTGATAAACTAGGATTGGCAAGTCACTCTCTAGAACAGGAGTGGCAGACTTAATTCTGACAAGAACTGCTTTTGTTTTTTAAGTGGAATTCTGAGAACCACCAAGCCCAGGTAAATGTGTATGTTTCATATTATTAGTGCTGTTGTTAAACAAAAGAAATCCAGATCTATCCTCTATGCGCTCCAGGATAGAGTAGTCCTATGAATATCCATGTGGCTGTGGTGAAGACAAAATTGTGAGGACTGAAACCTTAATCTCTGTTTAAGAAAACTATTGGGAATTATGTTTTACCCATCTGCAGATTATGTAAAGCCCTGACATCAAAAAGAGGGCATCATTTGCCAGCTACATTTGTGGTAAATAAGTCAGGTATTAGCAGAGATGAGCTGTAATTATGTGATGATGCTTCATTTTTCCGTCCATACATAATGCATCTAAGATAAAATAATATCATCTCCTCCACCCCCAACTGTTTTCAGGAGACTCAGAACTTGCTGTATTATGGTGTAGGTTTCTTCTTGAAATAAATGCCTGTGATCTTACTATAATGATCATTGGTTCTATAATGAAAGTTAGCATGTGATAATATTAGTTATAATACGTTTGAAACCATCAGCCAGATTTCTTTTGTTATGTTACTTTGCAAATGCGAACAATGGCTGTGTAATGTCTGCTTGCAGAATATTCTTGTACTGGCAGTTAAATCTGAGAACTAGAGAGAATAATAGCTTGCCTTAGTCTTTTGCAGCTGGATTATCAGTCCCAGCTGGATATATTATTTGGATATAGGGTGCATTTTGTTCAGTGTGCCTTCTCCATGTGAGTGTACACATTTTGTTTTGAGGAGTTTTGTGGATTCCAATTTATATTGTTAGCAATTAGCGATATAATCCAATATGTATCTATTCAGATCTACTGAACTAAACAGGTTCACTCTCAGATATGAGTGCTTTTGAACTGAATAGGCCTCAAGATCTGACTTTGCTTACAGTTTTAATGTTCTTGATTTCTTTCCTTTTTCACTTTTGTTGTTACAGATACTATTTCGACTAATTACCTTCGGGTTAAATGCTTTTACTCTGCGATATGTATCAAAGGAAATTATTGGCCTTGTGAATGTAAGGTAATAAATGAGAACCATTTTCTTTTGTAGTACAGCTGATGGTTTCCACATTATGAGAGTTCTTTCTCAGTGTGTATGTTCAGTATTATTTCTTTGTAAGCCAGGGCAACGGAAAACTAAATTACTCCACTTTCTGCTTCTTGACATGATGCTGCAAGGAACCATTTTGTACTCTTTAGTTGGATTAATATCTGCAATGTTGTCTAAATGCAAATTTGAGCTTTTGGTTAAGCTACTGGAACAAATAAATTTCCCCTGGATGATTTAAAAATATAGTAGCAACTGAATATCTTTCAGAAACTATTTGCTTATGATCACCTATGTATACTACATGAATTCTGGAATAAATATCTCTGTTTTGCCACCATCTATTGTAGTTTTGTATTTTCAAAATATAGGTATGTTTTTTATTAGTTATATTTAGAGATTGGGTTTTCCTTTTATGATGTTTTATTATATTATTACTGCAGTTTCATTATGATATTGTAATCTGCCAAGAGTAGTGGCCTAGGTACTAGATGGGTGGAATAAAAATTAAAACTGAATCAGGAACATAGCTATTGAACATGCAGTGTTGCTGATTCTGATAGATACGCATTCTGTTGTTCTTAGAATTTGGGACACTGCTTTTTCATTATTTTGGAGAGGAAAATGTTATTGCATGTTAGAATAATTTTGGAGAGGAAAATGTTATTGCATGTTGTAATCTGTGACAGGAATCCTATTGATGTTCACATAAGGTTTGCAGAAAATTTGCATAAGGCTTGGATGATTGCCATCACTTGCCTGAGTCATGCATTTTTGCCTCATCAATTAGCTGCAGCACGTGAAGCAAACACCAGTAGGATCCTGGCCTATGTTTTGCCAGTGCACAAGTTTTTGTGCATTTCTTCCTGTCTCCTCTTAACTAAGCAGGAACCCTGAAATGATGAAGAGAATTCTTGGCCCTGTAGCACTACCTTTTTTGCAGATACATGCCATAACTTGTTGCATTTCTAGAGATAGCTTCTTTGAAGTGAACTATAGATACATCTATGCAATTTCTTTCCAGTTAGGGTTGCTTCAGAATAAGATTAATTGTAAAAGAAACAACTGAAAGGAGCCACCTTTGGGTCCTTTTATGGAGAAAGGTGGGGTAAAAATATTTTAAATGAATGAAATAAGTAATCTACTGAATATGTAGCCAAGTCCACTGAGAGTACACTGAGACTGGACCATACCTGAGAAAAGCCACAGTTATGGCCAGAATCTTGTTCATTAAATGCAGTAGAAGAAAGAGTATTGTTCAGTCGTTCCCACACAGGCAGGCTCTGTTTTGCACAAGCAGTCACACACTGGTTGCAGAATAGGGTGTATGACACCAGAGGGGAAGAACTGCTGTGTGCTTGCATGGTTTTTGTTCACAGGATTCTGGCATGTAAAATTTATTGTCTAATTTACTCCATTTAAGCTTTATACAGCAAGGATGGGATTGGTAGTTCTCTGTAATTTTAGTCCTTTTAGGCTGAGAGAATATCCAGTCCCTGCCCCTCAGTTCCTCCGGAGTTACAACTCTCCTGCGGCAGCCCATCACAGCTGATATGAAAAGTCCCAGCTGGTAAACAGTCCTTGCCATGCCATCCCCGCCCAGCTCCCCTGTGTGGTGACCAAAGCAACCTCAGCTTGAAACCTGCAGGCAGGGCAGGCTGTGTGGTACCAGCTGTCCTTGGTAGTTTCCTTCCCTCAGCCTCCAGCCTGCCTCCCCTTGTCTAGATACTGGCCTTCAGCCAAACAGACAGTCCTCTGAGGATACTAGACTCTTGGATGCTTCTTCCAGTGTCTCCTTTGGCAGACTCCTCTCCTTCTCAGTCCAAGGTGGTGGGAACTCCCAGATGTCCAGTTCCGAAGCCACCACTACCCCAGTTCTCTCTCCTCTATTTCTACTTCTCCAAAGACTACAGATGTTTCCCTGGAGGAGGGCCCAAGGCCTCAACTTGGCCCTGCCTCAGGTGTTTTCCTGACCCATTACAGTACTTCTGCTGTTCTTGAGGGGGCCTGCCCATGCTGGCACTTAGCTCCTTCATCCCAGCTGAGGCCTGCCCATGCTGGCACTTAGCTCCTTCATCCCAGCTGGCTGTAGCTGGCTTTTCACTTTTATTGTTAGCCTGAAAAAGATACTCTAAGCCAGTGGTTCTTAACCTTGGGTTACTCAGGTGTTTTTGGAGTGCAACTCCCAGAAGCCTTCACCACCAGTTGTGCTGGCTGGGGTTTCTGGGAGTTGCAGTTCAAAAACACCTGAGTAACCCAAGGTTAAGAACCACTGGCTTAGAGTATCTTTTTCAGTTAGATTGCCTACACTTTAATTATGTTTCGTGAAGTTGATTTAATTTTTTTGCAACCTTTCACCCAAGGTTAAGAACCACTGGCTTAGAGTTTTTTTTTCAGTTAGATTGCCTACACTTTAAATATGTTTTGTGAAGTTGATTTTTTTTTTTTGCAACCCTATTCCCCTCACTCCTTTTTCTCTCGTGCTCTCTGTATTTCTACCTTGCCTTTTCCCCATAGGGGGGACTATGAAGGAAGTAAAAACACAAATGGTGAAACCATTACAGATATTTAAAAATTGCATTATAATAATATGTTACTAGGGAAAAGGGTCCAGGGTCCTGGGACCATTACAGATATTTAAAAACTACATTATAAAAATATTCTGATTATTCAAAAGCCCTGATACAGTTAGTTAAAAACACATTTTAAAAAGGCAGAAGAACAATCCAACTCTTAAAATCTCTTCCTCAAAAGCAGTGTACGTATTAAAAGCCTACCTGCATAGCAAGGTCTTTGTGTGCCGGAAGAAGGACAGACAGGAGGGGGCCGAGCCTGGTCTCCCTTGGAAGGAAGTTCCATAGCCTGGAATCAGCTACCAAGAAGGACTTCACTCATTTCCACACCTGTACCTGTGAGGGCCATAGGACGGAAAGAAGTCCTTCCTTGAAGATCTTAAAGCCTGGGGGAGGGACTGTTATGGAGAGGAATGGTCCTTCATATAGCCTAAAGCATGGAGTCTCGCAAAAAATTTTTTTATGACAATATAGTGTTATATGAGATAGCCGGTCTAGTACAGTGGATAGAGCGACAGACTGGGGATCAGGAAGCCTGGGTTTGAATCCCTCATCGGCCATGGAAATTGACTAAGGACGTTGAAGTGGTAAAACCACTCTTTTAAGTATTTCACTTACCTTGAAAGCCTTGTTAGGGTCACTGTATGTAAGTTCTGGGTCAGTTCTGGCTTGATGGAACATAACAAATATTATATAGCACATAATGTAATGTTTGATGTGGCCATAGCTCATAGCATTCTCCATGATGAAGTGATTATATAGCCACAGCATTGTTGTTCCTTCAGCCCTCTCTGCTACATATTGTTGGAAGTTGTTAAAGTGTTGCCTCATGAGTAACACCTTGTGTTCAAATGGTTCTTTCTTCCTTTGAAAGTAATTTATATGTATATATCTTATCTGTAGACTGATGCTGCTTTATTCGACCATTGTTTTCTTAGCCAGAGAGGCATTTCGTAGAGCCTGCCTGAGTGGAAGTACAAGGAGAAACTGGACCAAAACATTCAATCTTTTGTGGCTGATGTAAGTTTACACAATCTAGTAGTATTTAGTGTTAAAAATATTTCTTCATCAAACTACAGTATAGCGTTAAGAATGAAATGCTATCCTCCTTTTTTAGTTATTCTGGCAAGAATTACCACTAGTCAGCCCATCATCATCTTAGAACTGCCCAGTTCAAAGGGAACCTATGGATCATCAAGTCCAGCCCTTGTCAGAGAGGCACAGTGGGAATCGAACTGCCAACCTTTAGCTCCACAACCAGATACCTAAATCATTGAGCTATCCGGAACTGTGTTACACCCATCTTTTTTCAAAGAGCCAGTCCTGTGAAGAGGATGTAGTTGCTAGGCCTTCTCTCCCTTTGCTACAGTGGTTCCTTTGTTCTTCCTCTTCTCTCTGCTCTAGAAAGTTTTTGTTCTGCAGCAGGTGTCTGCCTTATAAGGTAGGAGCATTGTGTTAGCTGCATTGGGTTACTGATATAACTTTTAAAGGGATAGATGTGGTGCCCGGGCTGACTGCTGGCAATCAGCCTGTTGCATTTTATAAAAATCTCAAACAGGTAGCTTCACAGGATTTAAACTCTGCCACTAAACTCTTGAGGGTTGGCTGTACTTTTAAAATATACAACAGCATGTCCTTTCAAGTTGTGATTGAGCCAAAGAGCAGGAATCTTGGTGTATCGGTTGGTGAAGATGGGGTATGGAACTCTCAAACAACTAATTACACTTATCTAAATGCAAAAGGAATATTTGAGCTCATCTTCAGTGCTGCATTTTTAGAGATTTAACTCAGTTTCTTGAGAATCTAATGCATACAATATCTTATTGCAGTACAACTGGGCATTGATGTTGTTCCTGAGCTACTGTGCAAAAAGCAGTCTTAAAATGAGGTGGGAGATAAATATAGCAGTTGGAAAGGCATAGATTTCTGAAGTATCCAAGTATGTATATAGAGAATGTAAGACTGGTGGTGGAACTAAAAAAGCATTTATTTATTCATTTACTTAACTGGCTGGCTAGATTTATTTAGCAAACCCCCCCCCTTTTTTTTTTGAAAAATTACAAGAAATGGAACAAAATGTGACATTGTCTAAAGGTTGTATCTTCTCATCTTTTATAGTGTCCCCCTGGGTGTATGTTGGTCTATATTCTTGGGCTGGGTCTGGCTAGATGTACTTGAAGTTCCTGATAAAAATTCCATTCCTCACTACAACTTTGGAGTAGTTGCCTTTGGTCTTTCTGCTGTGATTGAACTCCTAGGTGAACCCTTCTGGGTTTTAGCACAAGTACACTTGTTTGTAAAGCTAAAGGTTAGTATATTGTATGAAGAAGGTTGTTCTCATTCATTTCTTAATTAATGTAAAGAGAATATGTACAAAATAAAACAGAGAAGTAATTAAAAGAACAAATGCTCCTTTCCAAAAGCCTGTTTTCACATTAAAATTAAACATTGTTGTTTGACAACAGCTGCGTTCTTATTTGCCACATATCAGTGTCTTTTATAGTATTGGCTGAAATCCTATTGCTTTAGTATAGTAAGTCAAAACAAGAGTAGGCATAAATGGAAATTATCGAGGAATTAACTGATTCAATGGGACTGCTCTAATTTTGACTTATTTATTATTTATTTATTATCTGAGACTGATTCAATGGGACTGCTCTAATTTTGATTTATTTATTATTCCAGTTTATATCCCACACCATCTGGCAACCAGGCCACTCTGGGCAGCTAACAACAATATAAGGAATAATGTTACAAACACGATAAAAATAAATTAAAACCAGGCCACTCTGGGCAGCTAACAACAATGTAAGGAATAATATTATAAACACAATAAAAATAAATTAATACATAATTAGGGAAATTAAAAGAGATGGCAATAAAGGCAGTAAAAAGGGTGATGGAGATGATGGCAAAAAGATCCTAGTGCTCCAGGAAAGCCTGGGTCTTCAGTGCTCTTTTGAACCCATCCAGCAAAGGTGCCAGGTGGATCTCAATAGGCAGGTTGTTCCATAGGTGGGGGGCAACCACTGAGAAGGCCTGATTTCTTGTTCTTTCTCTTTGGCTTCCTTTGGGGTCAAGGCCCTCAACTGTCATTCCTGTGAAGAACGAGTATTATGGACAGATCTGGCAGGGAGCAGGTGTTCTGATAGTTACCTAGGTCCTAAACCGTTTAGTGTTTTGAATGTTATCATCAACCTTGAAGTTGATGCGGAAACGAACTGGTAACCAATGAAGGGAGGTCAAAGTGGGGGAGATGTGCTGGAATTTCTTCACGCCAGTTATTAATCTGGCTGCCAAATTCTGGGCCAGTTGAAATTTGCATCAGCCGCCAGTTATTAATCTGGCCACCAAATTCTGGGCCAGTTGAAATCTGCATCATGTAGAGAGCACTGTACTAGTAGTCTATTCTTGAGATTACGAGGACATGAATCAACATTGTGAGTGCCCCCATGTCTAGATAGGGACACAGCTGGGCAATCTTCCAAAGATGCAAATGGGCTGCCTAAACCACAGATGCTACCTGGGTTTCCATGGTGAGATCCGGGTCCACACAGATGCCCAAGCTGTGAACCTCACTTTTCGTGGGAAGAGTCACTCCCCCAAAGGAGGGGGAGTTTCCCAACCCACTTTCGCTGGGGCACAAAGGAGGGGGAGTTTCCCAACCCACTTTTGCTGGGGCAGCCCACGCACAAGATTTTCATCTTGTCTGGATTGAAGCTCAGTCCATTTGCCCTCATCCACTCCAGAACGGTCCCAAGCAGCATTCAAGGGTTGGAACAACATCCACTGCAGTAGGAAAAAAGGAGAGGTAGAGGTGGGTGTCATCAGCATACTGATAATCTTGCCAAGCTGCACTCTCTGGGGACGGTCCTCCAAGAAGGAATGGAGCCACGCCAAAGTGAGACTACCGATTCCCAACTCGGAGAACCTCCCCACAAAGGAGCCACGCCAAAGTGAGACTACCGATTCTCAACTCAGAGAGCCTCCTCACAAAGGATACCGTGGCCGATGATATCAAAGGCCGCTGAGATATCGAGGAGGACCAACAAGGACATATTGGCCCTCTCAGCCTCAACGCAGGAGGTCATCCTGCAGGGTGACCAATGCTGTGTCCGTACCATGCCACGGCCTGAAGCCCACCTGGAACGGATCAATGGCATCAGTTGCCTCCAGGAGGACCTGGAGCTGATCGGTCACCACCCTCTCGACCACTTTACTCATGAAAGAAACATTGGCTACAGGCCTATAACTCCCAATTTTGTCCACCGCCAAATTAGGTTTCTTTCTAATGGGCCTAATGAGTGCCTCCTTGAAGGTAGAGGGAACTAATGAGTGTCTCCTTGAAGGCAGAGGGAACTATGCTCTCCTGAAGAGACCCATTATTTCGGTGGCCCATTCGGTTGTTACCGGCTTGGCTGCCTTGATGAGCCAGGCCGTACAAGGGTCTAAAGAGGAAGTGGTGGCATGACAGCACACAAGCACATGTCCACCTAGTCTAAGGAGGAGGTGGTGGCATGACAGCATACAAGCACCATGTCCACCTCATTGGATGTCACAGGTTGAAAGCAAGCTAACCTCACCGGGCAAGATGATACACTGGACATCTCAGCTGTCTATAAAAAGGGATCAAGGTTCCGGCAGATGGCCTCAACTTGAGATTTTAAAAATGCTGCAGATTGGTCACAGGAGATACTAGAGGGAGGTCTATCACTGTGGCCAACTCTGGATAGATCGCTTACTATATGGACAAGTTCTGCCTGCTGGTTGTGAGCTTCACTTATCTGGTTAGCGAAGAATGCTCTTCTAGCAACCTTTACCCTAGCTAGGTAAAGATCAGACCCTATCCTGGTGTTTGTTAAATTAGTTTTTGTAGGGGCCCTACTCCAGATGCTCTCTAGCCTTCTCTGATTATGCTTCATGGCTTTCAGCTACTGGTTCAAACAGGGAGCTGGTCAGGCTCGGCAACGGAGAGCTCTGATTATGCTTCATGGCCTTCAGCTGCCAGTTAAACCAGGGAGCTGGTCGGGCTCGGCAGCAGAGAGGGTGTTTAGGTGGGGTGACCAGCTCCCTGTTTGAACCAGTAGCTGAAAGCCATGAAGCATAATCAGAGAAGGCTAGAGAGCATCTGGAGTAGGGCAGATCTACTGTGATTATTGACAGGAGCGCCAACCAAGTCAGCCGTAATCCCCCACATGGTACCTTGGAATCTGTCAGGATCCAGTAACCTGCGGGGGCGAAACATCTTAATGGGTCCAAGCTCCCTGCAGGAGGGAAGTGCCACTGAGAGGCTGCATTTAATTAGGTGGTGATTGGACCATGACAATGGGGCTGATACCAAGTTGGCCACCATCGGAGCACACTCCCTCTGCTGGCCAGCAAAGACCAGATGCAGCATATGGCTGCCCATGTGGGTAGAACCGTTGAATTTCTAGGTCAAGTCCAAGGAAGGCATGGTTTCCAAGAACTCATGAGCTGGGCCAGAAACCTCAGCCTCCGTGTGAATGTTGAAGTCCCCAAGAACCAATAGTCTGGGGGACCTCAACAACGTTGCGGAGACTAAGTCCGCCAGCTCCGGCAGGGACAGTGCTTGATCATGGGGAGTGGTAAGCCAGCACAATCCCAAAGCCACCCCTGGCCCCAAATGACACGTGGACAGCCTCTAGACCTGGGCTCGTCACCTCAGAGAACCTAGTAGCCTCAAAGGTGTTCTTACAAACAATGGCCACTCCACCCCCCAGCACGGTCTGCCCTGGTGTTGGATGGCATACCCAGGTGGGCATATGAGGGAAAGAGTAGCTCCTCCATCAGCACCCACCCATGTCTCAGTTATACAGGCCAGGTATGCCCATTCCTCCAGGATCAAGTCCTTGATGAGTTGGGTTTTGTTATGGGCAGTCCTGGCATTTATTAACACCAGGGACAGAGAGGGAAGCTGGCTAGGCTGGTTACCTAGGTTCGAACAGGTGGGAGCAGAGCCAGAACAGGGTAAAGCCATCAAACATCTGTCCACTGTTCTTCTAGGTTTGATTGCTACTGTGCCAACACCATATCTCCCCTTGTCTGTAATTACCCATATATTTGAAGCATCCTCGCTGGAGTAACAGACATCCCTGTAGGAAGAGGAGGGAGGGAGGAAAAACCTTGCACCTGACCAGGGAAGGAAACATTACAGCCCGAGATCTCCTAAAGCGACTTGCTACCGTACTTTAAGCAACAGGATTTCAGCTGTTGTGATTTAGAGACTTACCTAAATCTATTAGGTTGAATCCAGACTAAGCGTGCAGTCTTTTACATGACAATACCTGCTATCCAAGTAGCTTTTAAAAGTTGCACAACTTTTGTTCCACCAACATAACTAAATATTAATTTGTGAAAGGTTCTGGCAACCAAATCTAATGGAAGGCTATACCAGCTGCATGTGGAAGAAGCCCAGAATGAGACTGATGTGCTTGTGTGTGTATGTGAGGAGTGTACCTGTGTTGATTCCTCTCTTCCTCCCATTTGATGGATGTGGCTGTGAGTAGGCCAAGAATCCCTGCTGTGTCAAAACTTGACATAAGTAGTTCCCACCTCTTTTCTCAAGTGGTAAGGAACAAAATGAGGATTTGTTCTCCCCACCTCCTGCACTCTTTTCATGGATCCTCCCATCTGTGTTTCGAGGCTGGTGAAGGACCTAACACCAGTGGACCAGAATTGGGATTGAGCAGACAGTGAGTTCAGATGAAGTAAATAGTGACTGACTGAAATCACTGAAGCTAAAGTGTGATTAACTTAGCTTGAGTTCGGTCCTATGGCTTTAAGAATGTAAATTGTTTTCATTGTAGAAGCATTTTTTCTCTTCTGTAAGTTGGCACAGATGCTGGACTGAGTGAAAAATACTTAAGCATTCTGTTAATGCTGGATTTGGTAACCACATGATTTTTTTTAAGTCATCATGTACAAATTAAGTCAGCATGTACAACCAGTTGGAAATATGGTTGGAATGCTTCTCATGATTTTTTTTTTTGCATATTCTTTGCAGGTAATTGCTGAAAGTCTCTCAATCATTTGCAAATGCTTTTTGACAGTTATTCTAGTGGTTCTGTATCCTCACTGGGGGCTTTACATCTTCTCTTTGGCCCAGGTACAATTTCATACCTGTCTTATTATTGTTTATTTGACGTGTCATAAGAATATTAGTGAACAAATGGCTGTTGCTTTGCTACATTCACTGAGCATTGCTCATGTCCATTTGAAACTAATAGATAAATTCAAGGGGCAATGTGTTGTAGAGTACACAGCATAGCTGATGTCTCAGTGCTAGCCCAATATAACCTTCTTTTTAAAGCCTTAGACCCAAAGTTATTTTTCTATAATATAGTACATGCATTTGTGGGCTTCCAGTTTAAAGAATGTAGGATAAATTATATTTCTCTGGATATATTATTTGCTTAAACAAATAATAAAATTATTTGTAAATAAATAATAAAATATTGCTTGACATACTTGACTTGTTCTTAACTTAAAAGTAATAGGTCTTGACTTGTTCATAGTTTAAAAGCCTTTTCTTCAGGTTGTAACACATACAAAATTACTTTTGTTTAAATTCCTGAGGGGCTATACATCATGTGTTAATTTTTACTCCTGCTTGTGCTCTCATATATATTATAAAATTGCACATGTTCTTAACTTACTCATTTACATTTGTCATATGTCAGTTAAGAGATATAGAAAATCTGAAATACAGTCCTATGCAAACATAAAATACCAGCAAATCCTTTTCAGCTCAGCAGGACTTACTCCTGCATGGAACTGTCCTGTTAATGAACCTTTCTCTTGAGAGAGAAAACTCCCTTCTGCCTGGAGACACTGGGAAGGCATTTGTAATTAAACTCATGATAGCCCTAAGAATCCTAATATTCCTTTTTGTGAAGCTAGTTTCTCATTTTGAGGGCTTTTGTAAATCATTAAGTAAGCAGAAGAGATGCATGAATTTGCATTAACCGTAAAGATTAAAATAGAAAGAAGGAAATGAAAGAGTAATGATTGAAATGATTATTATCATACGTACTAAATTGTGCACTGACACATATTTGTGATACTAGTAAATAACATTTTAGCTATTTAAACATCTGAAGAAATATTTTGTTTGTGAAAAGACTTTGATCTCAGTTCTGATGGTAGACAGGCTTATAACTTTAATTCATTTGCCCCGGACTTTCTTTGTGTATCTTGGGGTGCTAGTTAAAAAACAAACAAACAAAATACATCCTGCAAGGTTGAAGTCTGGTCAGCCTTTCATCTTCCTCATTGTTATTAATAGGAATTTGTGTCCCTTGCTCTTAAGAGCTTAGAGTGGTAACATTTTACTTTAAGACACAGTTACAGTCACATACAGAGCACTATTAGAATCACAACTGAAATTTCCTGCTGAAATACAAGGTAATCCATAGAAACACATGAGCTGCTGATCCTTGCAAATAGGGCATAGCATGGATGTTGTGAGGCCCCAAAAGCATGAGAGTTGCTATTGGGGGAACTGAACCTGGACACTCAATGTGCGAATCTTCTTAGTGCTTTGTTGGTGTTCAAGTAGAAAATGCTGCTTCAATGATTTGGATGCTATGGAAGTAATGAAAAAAAAATGTTGTTTCAGCTTCTGTATACCAGCGTTTTGATACTGTGCTACATCATATATTTCATGAAGTTTTTGGGTTCTCCTGAAGCAACGAAAAAATCATTTCCAGTCAATCGAATTATATCTATTTTACCTAATTTTGGACAAGATGAGGTAAGTGAAGAATTGCATTAAAGGCCAAGCAAACTTTTTTTTTTAGCACAAGGAAATTGCTATTCATGCCCAGCAACATTGTCCCAGGTGTTTCTTTTTAGTGGGTATTAGCACAAGGAAATTGCTATTCATGCCCAGCCACATTGTCTCAGGTGTTTCTTTTTAGTGGGTATTCACGAGGAGCCTTGTGGCGCAGTGGTTAAACCGCTGTACTGCAGCCAAAACTGTGCTCACGACCTGGGGTTCAATCCCAGGTAGCCGGCTCGAGGTTGACTCAGCCTTCTATCCTTCCAAGGTCGGTAAAATGAGTGCCCAGCTTGCTGGGGGGGGGGGGCAATGTGTAGCCTGCATAATTAACTTGTAAACCGCCCAGAGAGTGCTTGAAGCGCTATGGGGCGGTATATAAGCAGCACGCTTTGCTTTTTGCTTTTTATCTATCCTATTGAGATGTTCATAACTTCTTTTTGTGAAGAGAAATGAGGACATTTGTGTTGATGCTGAACGTTTCTATTGAAACTGTAGCTGCTCCCCTTTTCAAAGTCTTTCTTGTTCACATTTTTTTTTGCATTTGTATTTCTTATTCTGAAAAAATATCTATTGATATACAGTGGTGCCTCGCTTAACGAGTGCACCGTATAGCGATGTTTCCGTATAGCGATCCCTTTTTCGGGATCGCTATACGGAAACATACCCGATCGTCGCAATGGGGAAAACCCGCATTGCGAAGATCGGGTATTGCGGCGGCCATTTTGGAGCCGCCGAACAGCTGATCGGCGGTTCCAAAATGGCCACCGGAAGCCCGGAAATGGCTGCCGGCAGCCGTTTTTGCGCCCTGCCCTCGCTTAGCGAAGGCGCGAAAATGGCTGCCGGCAATTGGAATCCTCGCTGAACGGGTAAGTAAGAAAGGTATTGGAACGCATTAAACTAAGTTTAATGTGTTTCAATACATTTCCCCTACCCGTTTAGCGACGATTTCGCATAGCGAGGGTTAATCCGGAACGGATTAACCTCGCTATGCGGGGCACCACTGTATACATGTTTATTATATAAGATCATAATTATAATTTTTGTATTTGATGTAGAAAAATAAATCTCCAAATAAAATCTCAAATAGTTTATTATAGAGAGAAACAGTTTTGTGGTAGAGATAAAATATTACGTAATATAGAAGTCCATTGGTGAAATAAAGGTTCAGAAAAACTCTGATGGAAAAAGTAGACCAAAAATTGTAGAACAAAAGAAGGAATCTCTGCACATAGTAAAAGTTCCTTTTTCAAGCTTCTTTGGAACCACCCTCCTCCATCTCTCAAGCTGTCATCCAGTCACGGCATAAGGTTATGGAAACAGTCCCTCCTTCTCTTCTCATGAGAAACAGGTGTTGTTTTTCTCAGTCCATCTCCTTCTACGCCACAACAAGTGTCTGGTCTTCTTATCTTGTAATGGCTTGTTCTGGCCTAAAGGAAAAACATTTCCACAGCCCTCTGGAAATACACTCCCAGCATGCAAAATCATTTATACAGAGAACCAATATAGAATCCATTTTACATTGTTCACAACTACATATCCCACCTTCAATACATGATTTAATCCACACATATCCCATCTTCAATACATGATTTAATCCATATAAATCAACCCATGACACAGACCATCTTTTTGACAGGAATGAAATGATGTGACTTGGTTTCTATTCAGTGGGTGAAACCATGTTGATCAGGGTGGTTTTTTTTGTTATGGGTGTATTGTTGTGATAAGGGAGGGGAGATTATCACAACAATACACCCATAAGAAAAAACAAACAAAACAAGCACTCTGATCAGCATAATCACCCAGTCTCTTGAAAGGGACAAAAAGCTGATCCCACAGCTACAAATACTCAACTATCCCAGAACACAGAGTTCTAACTCCTGCCCTCTGAAGAGGCCAGTCAGCACAGAGTTCTAACTCTTGCCCTCTGAAGAGGCCAGCCAGAGAGATTGGCGAAACGTTAGGAAGAAAAACCTTCAGAACACTACCAAACAGCTCAAAAAACCTTCAACAACCATCGGATCCTGGCCGTGAAAGCCTTCAAGAATACAGTGGGTTTATAACTTTATTCAGACACAACATGCTTCAAGTCAGATTACTCTCCTTTGTAAGTAATTATAAAACAAACATTCTATTTACTATATCAGCGTAAACCCAGTTGCAAACAAAACAGATGAAATAAAATAAAACAGATAGGCCTTTAATATATCAAAATGGCATCAAATGAATAACAGGAATGATAGGTCTAAGGATATGAAATTTGCTAAACTGAATACGAGCTGTTGTAAAATGATAAGAACAATTTAGAAACATAGCATCCTATATCTCTTTAAAGACACCAACACATGAACTCATAATAAACAAAATACAGTGGTGCCCCGCTTGACGACGATAATCTGTTCCAGGAAAATTGCTGTTAAGCGATATCGTCAAGCGAAAAAAACCCCATTGGAATGCATTGAACACCGGCCAATGCATTCCAATGGTGGAAATACCTCATTGTCCAGCGAAAATTGCCCATAGAGAACCGCTGATCAGCTGTTCAAAATCGCTGTAATGTGAAGCTTCCCTCCAGAAAGCAGCCATTTTGAGATTGGAGGGAAGCCATTTTGAGGAACTGGAAAAATCATCGTATAGCGAACAGTTTACGAAGCAGGATCCTAATCAACGTAATGCGGATTTCCCCCATAGGAACCGTCATTTTGCAATCACAATAGCTATTGCGAAAATGTCATCGTTAAGCGATTTCGACGTCATGCAGGGTAAACGTATAGCGGGGCACCACTGTATGTAAGATTGTCCTAATGCATTTGGAATTTTGATGTTAATTATTTAAATACACACCAATAATTGTACGTTTATTTAACTTTTAGGAATTTATCAACTGGAAAGAAGCGAGACTGACCTGGAGTTTCTTTAAACAGTCATTCCTGAAACAAGTTCTCACAGAAGGTGAGTGCCGTACTCCCTATGGCTCAGGCTGTGCTGTCCTCTACAAACAGCGGCAGCAGTGATGACAACAATGGAAATGCCCTTATCTATCACTTTTTTTTTTTTACTTTTTAGAAGTATTTATTGGTTTTGGATGCACTTGACAGAATTATGGTGTTTCCTTGAAATTTAGTTTTGATGAAAAGCACATATTTTCTTTGTGTGGGGCAGAAATTGTAGATTGGCCACTTGGATTCATGTGGTGGCTACTTTAGGTCAGATCTTTCAATGGAGGCTCCTCCCTGAAGGAAATGGGCAGGAGAATGATCTTCATAGATTTCTTCTTTCCTTTATATAGCCCCTTGCACTGCCTCTGCACTTGACAGAATTATGGTGTTTCCTTGAAATTTAGTTTTGATGAAAAGCACATATTTTCTTTGTGTGGGGCAGAAATTGTAGATTGGCCACTTGGATTCATGTGGTGGCTACTTAATAATAATAATTTATTGTCATTGTAAGTATATACACAGTATACCCATACAACGAAATTCTTGAGGTCAGATCTGCTATGGAGGCTCCACCTTTCAATGGAGGCTCCTCCCTGAAGGAAATGGGCAGGAGAATGATCTTCATAGATTTCTTCTTTCCTTTATATAGCCCCTTGCACTGCCTCTTCTATTGCAGAGACTGAACACAGGTACAAGCAAGCAGATATCACCAGTCTTGGCACACCATTGACTCCCTGTTGTTTTCCGTACTCAATTCAAGGATCTGGTTATCATAAATAAAGTCCTTAATGATCTTATTTGGCAGATCACCTCTCCCACAAAATACCTACCCATCCTACCTGCTCCGATGTTAAGAATTGTAATATTGAAGGAGGCCGAAATAAATGCTAACATAAAGTATTAATTTTTAAAGGTGAGAGATATGTGATGACTTTTCTGAACGTATTAAATTTTGGAGACCAGGGTAAGTAAGACATTACTACAAATTTTGTATGACTGTTGTGAAATCTGAAGATTGCTGCATTTTAAAATAAAATCTACATCATCCCAGAAAAATATTGATTTGTGGTTTGAATAATGTTGAAAGTAAAACAAATACCATTTTGCAAAAATAGATTTTGGTGATACATATCATGAGGATGATTTTGAGGAGTTTTTCTCATAAGTTAGTTTCATAATGTTAGTTGAGCTAGTTCTGATGATCATTATCAGAGCATGCGTGTTAAAAATAGTCCAAAATGCATTCAGACATAACTTATTTTCTGTTAGTGTTGTGCCACTGTAGTAGTAATCCTTCATTCTTGAGAGACTATGGTAACGTGCTCTGTACGGAGGACGTGGAACAGGGTCTAGGGGGGCTGAGGAGGTCAATTCGAGAGTGACAGTCGCTTCCACACTGAAGACAAATACAATCTGTCCCCTGTCCAGCTCCCTGATTTTGCTGGTTTGGGGACTGCCTCTTTGCCTTGACCTGCTGAACAAGTGTCTCTTCAAATTGGGAGAGGCACCGCCTGCCTCCAGTTGTGTGTAGTGCCACTGTAATTTGCTTTCCATTGCTTTGCATGTGAAATAGGTTCAGGAGTCTTGTTTTCTAGGGATCTATTGTCTCATTTTATGCTGCAAGCCGCCCCGAGTAGATATGGTCTAGAGGGTCGGGGTATAAATGTAATAAAATAAATAAATAAATAAATAAATAAATCACCTATATTGGAAATAAGGTAGTATTTAATATATCTATTGCAGTTATTTCCTTTCACATGGAAAGCTGGTAATCTGTAGGCTTAAATTTTGCAGTGAATTGATTCTGTTATACGATACTGTCCTACAGTGGAAGGTCATGGCTAGATTAATATTTGGCTCATGCAACATAGTTTTAAACACAGAAGTAATATTTTGTATGTATTAACTAAGAGAAAATGTGGACCAGTTGTACTGAAAGAGTATGCAGATGAATGAATACCAAAAAGTGTATAAAATAGCCATCTTTTAAAACATATATTGAATTGACATTAGGATTTTTTTTTAAAACAGCTTGAAACTTAAAGTGGTTTGTCATTTGCTTTTAGCTTGCTTTGAGAAGAGTTTTAATCATTATTACAATGAGTAAAATAGTGGGATTTTTGTTGAATTATTTGTTTAGTAAATGTTGCACAAAATGTTTGCTTTATAGTGAACATTACAGAGTGTATGTATTTATAGGCCTCATAATTGCTGTTTGCAATGGTGGTTTCCATAGAGATAAGTACTATCATAATTTACAACATTGTGAAACGCATGTTCTTACTACTGTCTCTTTCACTTTTTAAATCAGTAATCAGAATTTGTAATTACATTTTTCTGTTTATTTGTAAAGGTGTATATGATATAGTGAATAACCTTGGGTCTCTGGCAGCTAGATTTATATTTCTGCCAATAGAAGAGAGTTTTTATGTCTACTTTGCTACCGTTTTGGAACGAGGGAAGAATATCAAGTTGCAGAAACAGGTAAATTTAGTCTGATTATGCATCTGTTTCAAATTTTGTGTTTCAAGGGGAAAATAAGGAATACTTTATGATTTTGAATTTTTAAATACCTCTCACAGGAATTATTCCAGTATGGTCTGCACAACTAAAATACGTGCAGGGATATAGCAGGTTTGAAATACAGTTAGGGGAATGGAAAGACAACAGAATTGCTTGCAAAAGCATCATGAGGTATGACAAGCAGATAGTGATGCTATTACTGCTTGTTTTATTGTTTTGGGCCATATGAATTTGAATTTTTCCCCCCTTAAAAAGTTTCAAGCAAAATTGATCTTAGAAAAGGTTTACACGTGAACGGTATGTGAATCTGCTAATGCTATGCTGGAGTCTCTGGTTTCAAATTGATATTTGTAGTATAGTCTTAAGAATGTGCAAGTGAAGTAAAATTACATTGAAATTATAAATAAAAGTATTTGAGATAGATTGTTGCCTTAATGATATTTATTTTTTTAGTGTCATTTGTAGGCTGCCTTTCTCCAGATAATATACATTGTACATAGTTTTAGTATAGTAATTAAGTCATGGCTATATATAGCATTATAGCAGCAAATAATGTACTAGCTTTAATGGAGAATGAATATAGGATGAAATCTAATGACTGAAATCCTGTTGCCATAGCTAGGTGTTGCCATAGCTAGGCTTGCTGATGGATGGTGATGATGTCATCAACGGTGTGTGTGTGATTTGTGATAATGAAAGATTTCCCTGTTCTATCCCATGGCTTTTCTGATTGATAAATAATCCCTTTCATTGTCTGGAAGCCACAGGACCTGCAGTGCAGCAGGACGAAGCCTTTAGTAAACAGAAGCCTCCCCAAGCAGTGGCAGTTCTGGCAATGAAAAACATATGCCTCATCTCCTGTGACTTTCCAGCTTCCATGTAATGAAAGGGATTGTTTGTAAATCAGAAGAGCCCTAGGAGAGAGCAGGGAAAATCTTTCATTACCCAAAATTTCCCCTGTTGGTGATATCATCACTCTTCCACAGACATTGGTATGCTAACAGGATTTCAGCCATTGAGTTCAGACTCTGGTTAAATAAAACTTTATTCCTAGGAATCTACTTGTTTATCACACATGACAATAATGTATTTTCAGAATTTTTAATTTGATGGAGAGATAAATTGGAAAGTATAACAATATAATTTATCCTTTGATTTAAAGTCGGGTCTGCCAGTTTGTTTACTTTGCTGTAGCAGAGTTTCATGCATTTCCTAATGTTTTAATTCATGAAGGGATGTGTTCATTTTAGTTTACTTATGTCTAAAACTTTCAGCAGATCAAAGAATTATAAATGTAGGTGATATTGTAATTGTTATAATTTGAATGCAACTAGCAAAGTAAACACTAGAACGTCGTAAAATCTAATTAATTTGCACATAGCTTTGATAATCTAGACTATACTCTTCTGGTTTATTTTATTTTATATTTTTTAGGATGATATCTCCATGGCAGCAGCTGTATTGGAATCTCTTTTGAAATTAGTGCTTCTGATAGGTCTAACCATAACAGTTTTTGGTTATGCATATTCCCAGTTGGTGCTAGATCTTTATGGAGGTTCAATGCTCAGTGTAGGATCAGGTAATAATTGTTATTTTGAAAAACAGCTTCATAAATCTCAGATTGTTTTGTAAAAACATCCTCAGTTTATTTTTTATATTTGAAAAATACTGTATCAACAGAAGAAAAATCAACATAAAATAGCTGGCCCATTCAGATACCATGCTCTATAAATTTAAGTTTAAAAATAATTTCTCCTTGTTTAGTAAATTTTATTGTGTGAGTTTTGGAGGGGTGGCAGTGGTTTCATTACAGTATTTTGTATCTTGCTTTCGAGTACCACTGAGAGAAATAGTGCATCTTTTTATAGAAGCAGAAGTTAATTTTTTCTTGGCACTAAAACCTCTTGAAGATACTAATTAATGCAGTACTATAATATTTAAAAACTGTTTAACAAAGAAGGTAATATGATTTTTGAGAAATGCATTTTATTTGGAAGAATAAAGAACCGTCTCTGAGTATTGCTAATTTTCTCATATGCTGCTCCTTAGGCTTTTTGGGATGCTATTTGAGCCCTGTGAAATTAAAAATGAACAGTAAAATAGTATAAATTGGAAACAAATAAGAAGCAATAACATCCATTTTATTAAGGCTGTTATGCTATCCCATTAAATGAAGCATATCTCCAAGTAAACATGCCTGAAGTTTTGCTAAGTGTTGCCTCAGTGTTATCATTTGAAATTAATTTTCAGAATAAGTGCAGTGTGCCAATCAGCTATATTCTGGCATCTGCCTCATTCGTGAAAAAGATATATAAATTTTGCTAATGATATGCTGATTAGTGGCAACCATCTGGCTCACGATAGGCCTTTGATGGTTCTCAATGCTGATCTGTTTGCCTATTTCTACCACAAAGAATTATCTGGCATTTACCAAGACTGAGAAACAGGTATTGCCAGTAACTGTTAAACACATCTTTAACCAGTGAATCCATTTGGGACGATTCATTGTGAACCATGCTCAGGCATTCTTCACCACTCCAGCAGTACTAGAATTCTTTAACAGACATCATATACCTAATCAGTTCTTCTGCTTTTCATACGGAGAGGGGGTGCTTTATCTAGTACAGTAGTTAATAATCTATATATCTTACAGTTCAGGTAGAATATTTTCAATAATCTATATATCTTACAGTTCAGGTAGCAGTAAGAATATTTTTGCTAAAAGCACACTCTGTAAATGGATAGAGGGTCACAGTATTAAAATGTATTAATAACATTCTTATATGCATTAATAATGCAATGATGAGAGGTTTCATTTTATTATTCGACTTGTCACAATATTTTCTTAGGTCCAAGTCTCCTGCGTTGCTACAGTTTATATGTCTTGCTGCTTGCTCTTAATGGGGTAACAGAATGTTTCACATTTGCTTCCATGTGTAAAGAAGAAGTAGACAGGTGGGTTAAAATGATCACAGTAGGTGATAACTGTATTTCAGCTTTGCTTTGATAATTCTTCATTCATTTTCAGCCTTGTATGAGGAGGGGAATCTGTAAGAATATTCTTCATCGTAGTGATTATATTTCTAGCCATGAAATGTCTCAAGTTTGTCTCATTATTCTGAGAAGTTTGAGAAATGTTGAAATGTGAAGTCCTGATAGATATCCATTAGAATAGAGCAAGAATGTGTGACATTTTCACAAGACACCATACTGGGATTAATAAAAAGCTATGAAAAACATAGCAACTATTTTTGGCTTCTATGGAAAAGTGGAACTCACAGCAACAGCATCACAGATGGAGCCAAATCTATTCACCACCTTGACAAGGGGTGTCCTGGTCATTAATGACCTTGAAGTACACAGGATTTCTTAAATATTCAAGTCCTCCTTCCATGTATGCCAGGCTAGGAATAAATTATTTTATTAGTTTAAATGCAACAATTCAGTTGGATGTTGACCCTTATTAAGGTGGTGTATATCCTAAGCTGGAAATACCAGCAAACCAACACTGGGACAGCTAGCACAGCCTTGCTTCATAAGGCATAGCTGGTACCCTTGTGCCATATCTGTGATTTGACCCTTAATCTTACAGCCAGCACAGTGACAGCTGCTGCTCATCCCACTCTGTTGTAATCTTGCTGTAACAGAACTGCATATTCTGCAGTACTGGTCAGATTGGGGGTGTGAGAGCCTCCTCTAAGCCTTTAAGCAGAAAGAGCTTTTTCTTCAGTGTACCTCTTCTATGTTTGTAAATATGTGTGAACCCATTTGGTGCTACAGTAGCTGAAGCAGATTGCTCATCTCTGTTGAACCTGACTTTCTAGAAAGCTTTCTCTGCTGAAAATAGATAATAAACTCTGCTGTCTTGAGATCTGAATTACATATTTTGCATAGTAACAGTGTTCTCTGCTGGCTGCTGTCACTGGGCAGTTGAGAATGTAAGTAGGAGAGATGCATTGTCATGATTCAATTTAAAATTTGCCGTTTTGCCAAAGTGTGACATCCTTAAGAGGGTGGATTTCTAAGATAGGTTTAATTCAACATGACAGCATTGATAAAGGCATCCTTTAGTGTAAGATAGCATTTTTGATGTTCATGATAGCATTCAAACAGTGGATTGGTATAATGTTGAATTAATTCTCTTTTTGCTTAATTAGTTGTTATCTCAAAGTATTTCCATGTGGATTTTGTTGGACTTATGAATGTTTTAACCACAGTATGATTGTGAGGCAGAGTATTCTGAGGAAGCAAATTCTATGGTTTACCTCAGTGGTTCACAAACATTTTTGACTCATGCTCCCTTGATTTACTGGTCACTGGCCACAGGTCCCCTTGTATTGCTCAAAGGGGCCATCAGGGGTCTCTCTGCCAACAGGGGCAGGATTTTGACATCTCCCAGCCATCCTGTCTCCTCCACCACCACCACGCCGAGTATCCTTGAGCGCCCACCTCCTTCCAGGACCTCATACAGGAAACTTAGAAGGCCACTCAGCAAGCACCTTCACCAGGGACCATAGAACTGAGGAAATGAGAGGCAGGCACATTATTTCTATTTCTGGTTTCTCCCCTGTAGCTTTCCTAGCTCTCAAGTTTCATCCCTTTTCCCATCGCACCCCTGGCTGGGTTTTGTGGTGCCCCACGGTGCTGCAGTACACAGCTTGGGAACCCCTGGTTTACCTTATTTCTGAGTCATCTTACACGGGAGTTCATCCTTTCCGTTCATTCCCATATTAAGGAAAGGAATCTGAGACCTGAGTTTGAGAACTTAGGAGGCAGTGTCTTGACCGTTGTCCTTTGACTGCTCCCATGCCTGTGGAAGATTTGATTCAGGGACTCACTGACTCGCAGGTCAGTCTTTTCAGCCACTGAGACTTAGATGTTTGCGAGCCAGATACAGGTTTGCTGCATATATTATTTCTCTTGCTCGCTAGAAAGTAAATTGTGAATCTATTGAAAGTGTATAAACTCTGATTTGATTTTCAGATACAACTTCGTCATGCTTGCTTTGTCCTTTGTGTTTTTGTGTATGTCCTATTTCCTGACCTCTTGGCAAGGGAGCATAGGTTTTATCCTTGCCAACTGCTTCAACATGGGGATCCGAATAGCACACAGCATCCACTACATCCACGGATATTTCAAGGGAAGCCCTTACAGACCTTTAAAAGGCCTCCGTATTTCACCATTGCTGATGGTTGTTTGTGTCATCAGTGGAGTAATCACTGGTGTTTCAGAGGTGAGTAGCACTGCCTCAGTATAAACCTAGCTTTCTATCAGAACTGAAGTCTAAAATTAGACTTTTGTTGAATCAGAGACTGATCATAAGAGTGGGGAAGCCAATACATTTCCTATTAAATAACCTGTGAAGTAGTTTTGGTTAGCGTACATGAAAAATGCAACTTAGCTAGCTGTACAGTGCTTATACATTAGATTTACAAATAAATACCTAGATATATCTGCATATAGCTATGAAATATTGTTACACATTCATGTGTAAAATTAGTTTCATAAATATTTCTCTTTTTTTCTATACAATACATTTCTTTCAAAACTGAGGAATAAATAATAAAAAAAACTGCTATGAATCACCCAATCCATCCGTTTTCTTTTTCCAGCTTTTCTGGCCATGCAGATGTACAGTATAGGGTGTTAGGCTGAACAAATCACACCTCTGTTATGGAATCTGATACTTTTGAGATTGACACTAATTTTTATGTGAAGTTGTGCTTTTGACCAATATGACTCTTGGGAAGCTTTGCCAGGATGTAGTGAAGAGTGTTATATAGAAATCTTTGAATAACCAAAGGGGAACATCCAGTCTCCTTTAATTCTGAACTACAGCATTAACCTTAATACAGCAAATAGTAACCGAGGCTTACCTTCTTTGTAGGTGTTCCTGTGCTGTGACCAAGGATGGATGGCAAAGTTAATTCACATCACTGTGGGAGTCCTCTGCTTCATAGCAACTCTTGCAGCTATATTTTTCACAGAAACCAGATTGATCCAGTTTGTCAAAACACACATATTATCAAAATATTCCAAAGAAGGACTAAAATGATTATACAGTTTATTTATCTCTTTACCTATATGTATATGTTTGCTATAGAACATTTATATTTATATATAGAATCACTGTGCAGGATAGGACTGTAAGAACCCCAATATATGCCTCATTCAGTCAGTGAAATAAAATCACCAATGGTCTGCCACTGCAAGTGCTGTCATTCTCCTTATGCCTACGTACGTCACGCAAGAGGATTTTTGCCACTGTGCATTCCTTTCACATTTGTGCTGCAAGATATATTAGAGCCAGCAGGTGCTCATCTTCTAATTGCTGCTGAAAATGGACAGCTCTTTAATGGTTTGCTTCCCAGTTTACTTCCAATCAAACAGACCAACATGTCTAAAATTTCTTGTAGCCGCACAGCACGTATATGATGGGGAAGTCTACAATATTTATAGTACCGTCTTTTAAAAAGGAAAAAAAGATAATCCACCCCCAGTTTTTCAAGATCCACAGTTTCTTGAGCATACTTTGTTTCCTTCAGTACACTTCCTTCTTTCCTTCCTGCCCCCACCATAGGGGTGTAAAGAATGCTGTCTAAATTCCTTATTCTGGAATTGTCAACTCCTTTGGCATTCTTCAGGCAATAATGCTCCTTTTTCTCCTCTGTTAAAAGAGATACAAATACCTTCTTCAGGTCTGCTTCTCCTTAATAGTCTGTGCAACTGATTACATTTTTTGCAAGTTGTATTATTGGTATTGAGACATTATTAGCCAAAAATGTTTTTTTATGCACATAAAATTATTTTAGGTGTGTAAAATTTGTGCAAAAAAAATATCCCTTCTCTTTTTTTGTCCCCATTCTCTTCTCTTGGTGATAAAGCAGAAAACTATCTCATCAGATTGCAGGGTGAGGTGCATTATTTTGCCATTCCGTGTCCTTGCAAGAATGTGGCAGGCGAGGATTTTAATCCATCCTCCTTCACTCCCATGAGAGTGGGGAGACCATTGCCGCCTGTTAGAAACTGTTTTGACGGTAGAAAGGGCTAACTGGGTACTGTGTCGTGTCTAAATAGTTAATAAAATAGCTAGAATAGATATAAGAAGACATTCTCCTTATTTAAAAATAACATTTTTATATACAGTACGGATGCAATGAGGGATTTAAAATTCCATATAATATTTTATGTATTAAATTGAAGACTTTTTATTACAATGTTGTAAAAGTCATACAGGGAAAGAGGAGTAACGAAAAAGGATCGCATAACCCTCCTGTTACAGCTACCAATCTGTTTCCAGGCACAATTCAAATTGCTAGTTTTAACTTAAATGGCAAGGGTCCATGCTGTCTCAAGGACTGCATCTCCCATTATGTAGAGACAACCCGTCTGTTCATAAAACTAAAACAAACAAAAACAAAAGAGAACATTAGCTCAGTTTATGTTGAAAGGACATTTTGGGAATAAAAATGATTCATCCCTTCACCTCCTCTCAAATTCTTCCTTGCATTCCTCCCACCCCATCTTCTCAATATGCACAGCATGGTATTGCAAGCTGGAGTTTCAAACATGTAGCTGTTCTTCAGCAAAATACAATACATGGGGCTGTGTGGGGTTGATTAGGACTCAGTATAAATTAAGTGATTTGAGGGGTAAATTGATATTAAAAATTGTTTTACAACTAATGTTCAGTAATAGAAAATCTGATAAAAGTCTCTTAAGACTGTCTGCCCTATGGAAGGAAATCTGCTCAGGAAGGACCAAATATTTTCTGCAAGTTACATTACATTGCTGGAGGTGTGGGGGGGGGCAGCAAACACATTGGACTCTCTAATCACAGCTTGTTAATTCAAAAGATATTGGCTAGAGAAGCAGGGATTGCATTCCCCTAGAAAGCAATGTTTGTGGGCAATACAAGGTGGCTCTTTCTCAGCATGGCTTGTCTGTGTGGTTGCCTTGGAAATTCAGATCCACACATTTGGATGATAAATCCACTGTACCACTCACAAGTTTAGGCTTTGAATCCAGGAGGGATGAACATATACCCTGAATGTGTTTAAAGGAATGATGTCTCACAGCTACTTAGTAAAAAGCAACCAGATGGGCTAGCATGTCTTGCTTATATTACTTTGGAACTAGTACCTCAAGGGCAGCAAATGACGGGGGCAGCGGACAATGCTCATGGGCTCTGAGTTAAGGTGCCCCCTCATGCTGGTCCGTGAGCTGACCCTACAGTACCTCCTGTTCTTTCTTTATCCTCTTTATTTATTTGTCATGCAGTAAAAAAGGAGATGAAAAATCTTTAAAGTCAATGTTTTCCTCTGTCAGAATTGCCCTCTTCTCAATACCCATGCCACATAAAATTGGGGAGCATTTTATAATCTTCATATGTCAGTTGCTTTGAGTAAAGCAAACGTGCCATGAAACTCAGCACTTCTATGAGCCACTCTTTTAAGTATTGCAAATAGCTTCAAATACTGAACACTAAAATACTGCCAGTAAGAACAGGACTAACTCCCAGCTGTCCTCAACACTGACTGTGACGGTTGGGACCAAAGGGAGTAATGGTCTACAATATCGGGAAGACTGCATTTGTCCACCTTAATTCTACCATATATTATTCTGAAAGGGATAGAATTGCCACAGTTCCTTGTATTTTTGCAGATTAGACAAAGAGTTACGAAATACAACTTCACTAATAATTGTTTCGATTCTAATGACTTTTTAAGTTAAGCTTTTAATATTGTTTCTTTTTAATACCATAAGCCGCCTTGGATCCTTTGAAGGAGAAAGATGGGGTATAAATAAGTGATGAATTAAGAAATAAAGAATCAGAAAAAATCCAAAATAATAGTGTAATAATTTATTGGGTTTTTTAAGCTTTTAATATTGTTTCTTTTTAATACCATAAGCCGCCTTGGATCCTTTGAAGGAGAAAGATGGGGTATAAATAAGTGATGAATTAAGAAATAAAGAATCAGAAAAAAGAAAATCCAAAATACAGTGTTTTGGAATATAAGCATTTATTTAGACATAGGTCAAGATCCAGGGTATCTTTGATAATTCTCCCAGCTTTGGTTATATTTGATAACCAAAACTTTGAGAATTATTATTATTATTATTTAAAATATTTTTATCCCACCTTTCTCCTTATGAAGGACCCAAGGTGGCTTACATCATTGAAACTCAATGTTTAAAGCTGAAACAATGAGTTGTGGTTCACATCATTAAAAGACAATATTTACAGCTAGGAACTGAAGCTTGCTCTCCCTTCCCATGTAGACCACTGGGGTACAACAATTATTCCTGATGGTTTGCCCAGCCCATTGGAGTAAATGTTAAGGGAGAATAGGTGCAGCAGGAAGGAGAAACAATCGCGGACTCTTGGAGAAGCCGTAGATTTCATTGGATTCTGCTATACTGATTTGTCTGCAGTAAAACTGAAACATGAGAAGCATTAAGAATATCATTGTTTGATGATGTAAATATGTTACTTGACTGTATGTTGTACAAAGATGTCATTTTTCCAATTTGCAGTGTTTTGTTTGGACCACAAAACCTTGGTTAAAACATATTTATTAAAATCAATCCATTTCAGTAGTGTATCCAGCTATTACTGTGCACTGGTTGCATCTGATTATAAGGACGTCAATACTTCTGGAACTAGTTATAGGAGCCCAGGTAAGTTATTGACTTGTTTTGTTGAGTAACAGCTGCAAGAGAGTGTCTGAATAGCTGACTCTCTGACCGATGCATTATGCCATGGTTCTTGGGTAAAAAGTCAGACATTCTCTGGTGTCCTCTGCATTGTTCCCCACACTGTTTCCTAGCTCTTTTAATAACTCTGTTTCTTACAACATTAAGATTACATTTCCAAACATGCTGATTATTGAGTAAGCTCCACTGAACACATTGGGACTTACTTCTTAGGAAATGTGGTTAGGGTCACATCATCTGTACTGAGCAAAATATGCATACTTCAAACAATTAAATGTGGATAGCTGTGTATGGACGCTGTTAAGGTGC